TTGGTAGGAAAGATCCCTAACTCCTCCTGGCAAAGATCACAGAACAACATTTAACTCTTTATCTGCTGATTGCATTTGATCTCCATCTTTTTTGTCCTTTTCAGAGATGTTACTGATCACCACCAACCCCTATGACTTTCAGTATGTGAGTCAAGGGGAGATCACAGTTCCCAGCATTAACGACCAGGAGGAGCTGATGGCCACGGACGTAAGTAACAGATGTTTTATTAGGTGGAGTTTCATTTCTCTGACCTTTAAGAGACAGACTTTTTACTCAAAGGCTCTTTTGTTAGAGTGCCATTGACATCCTGGGCTTCAGTGCTGATGAGAAACCAGCCATCTACAAGCTGACAGGGGCTGTCATGCACTATGGGAACCTGAAGTTCAAGCAGAAGCAACGAGAGGAGCAGGCAGAGCCTGATGGCACAGAAGGTACCAGCACAGCATATCCCAGAGCACTGTAGGTCCCACAACACTCTCACATACAGTCGGCAAGTCAAACCATTGACTCAGCCTGTGCATTTCCCCAGTGCCAGTAGTGTACAACAGAAGTGTGTTCTAGCCACAGGACTTCTCTGGAGGAACACAGCTCAGTAGCTTCCCAGACCTGGCACAGAACCAGAAGCAGCTCTGAACTACTAATGAATAGTTACAGTAGAATAGACTACAAATAATGCTTGGAATCATTGCATGAAAATAACCACAGTAAAGATATATACATATATATAAACACATTAAAAAAATACATCTACAAAAGGGAAACAAAACTCATGTTCCAATTTTCTTCTTGTTTTGTACCTTAATCTTTCTAGTGACTAATGTACTTTAAATACTTACTTGCAAACAACACATAAACCAGAAGCAGCTCAAGATTAGCATCTGTGTATGTATCTTCTCTAATGAGGTTTAGCCTTCTGACGTTGATGAACTCTGTAAATAGTACTGGAGCTCACTATCAGCCTCACTGGGAGATGGGACAGGCAGCAAATTGGAAGGTGATGACAGAGTAGATGCAGTGCTGTGGAGCTGCTTTTTACTGCTCTAGCTGCAAATTAAATCAGAGCTGGAAAAGACTTACGTGTGTGATATTTATCCTTAGGGAGACTATGGTACCACTGTGGAAGTTGTACAAGATATCCTGTTCATACTTTCGTCACAATACCTCACTAATCTTCCTCCCTCTCTCCAATGACAGTAGAGTTCCACTGACTACAATATTCAGTACAGTGTATTTCAATACCAACCACTTTCCTACTCAGTTTATGCAGACATTGTGACTGTTTGTTCAGCCATTTTCTTCACCTTTGGCCCTTTTTTCTGCCTAGTCACTTGTATCAAAATGTACATATTCACTGTAAAGGTATTGGAATAATCTTTACTTTTGGTAAAAAAATAAGCCAATCAAGAAAAATGACAATATTTTACAGTACATGACAGCACATATGTGGCATCTGCAGGAACATCCACTGGAGAGCTAATGTTTGATCCTGCTCTGCACTTGTTTCCATAGTTGCTGACAAGGCAGCCTACCTGATGGGGCTGAACTCAGCAGACCTGCTCAAGGCTCTCTGCTACCCCCGAGTCAAGGTGGGGAATGAATATGTCACCAAGGGTCAAACTGTGCAGCAGGTAAGAAGAAAAGTGATGATGGAAAACAAATGACTTGAACTGAAAGCTTTGAAGTTCCTTTTTGCTGTGGATGGTAACTCACCTTTAACCTTTTCTTAGGTGTACAATTCCGTGGGTGCCCTGGCAAAGTCTGTGTTTGAGAAGATGTTCCTGTGGATGGTTGTTCGCATCAACCAACAGCTGGATACCAAGCAGCCCAGGCAGTACTTCATTGGTGTGCTGGACATTGCTGGCTTCGAGATCTTTGATGTAAGAGGGGACCTTCATACAAGTTTCCTGGAAGGGGCATTAAGAAACAGGAATGGTTATTGGGTTTAGGGTGGTAGGTTTTTTAATTATGGGTTATTTTAATTTATTGGATAATCTTACTATTCCTGTAGGAATGACACTCTTCTGGTTCTTATAGTATGTAGTACCCCACAGGGCAGCATATTTTTGTAGGGGCCTCTTGTTTTGTGCAGAAGTGAAAATTGCATTGGAAACTGAGATGAAAATGTTGAACAACTGATAAGTAATAGCAGAGACAGATTATGAGCAAGTTTAAATTTGCCACCTTGAAGGAAGATACTGTTAATGCTGAAACCCTCTGATTGTCTGGGTATAGTCTGGCAGTGCACACAGATTCAAAGAAATTAAAACCTGGACTTGGACTAAGTTCTGAAAATCTTTTCAGAGCTCAGGAATATGTTGAGACAGTGCTAAAGTCTGAAAGGGTATATCTATTAGAGGATGGAATATGCCAGTCACCTGTCCAGTCCCAGCACTAGAAATTCAAGATCCCAATCATAGAGACCTTAATGGGTTAAAAATAAAACCTAAAGTGCTCCTGAAACTGAAATTCACAAGTAAATCTTTGCATTCTGCAGTTCAACAGCCTGGAGCAGCTGTGCATCAACTTCACCAACGAGAAACTGCAACAGTTCTTCAACCACCACATGTTCGTGCTGGAGCAGGAGGAGTACAAGAAGGAGGGGATTGAATGGGAGTTCATTGACTTTGGGATGGACCTGGCTGCCTGCATCGAGCTCATTGAGAAGGTATTTCTGTAACTCACATGAAATGTAAAAAGAATCTTCTCTGCTCCAATTAGGCCACACTAAGAGGTGGCCCCCACAGTTAAGGCAGCACAAACCATGATGTTTTCTGGACTCCAAGCATTTCATGTACAGTTTCGTTTGTCTCTTACCTCACTCGCTGCCTGTGGGATTCAGTTGCATTGTACATGTGATTTACATGGGGGAAAAATTTCAGTCCTACTCTGAAGCTCCTACTCAAAGTCAAGGTGGTTTCTTAGTGCATGCTGAGTGTGTAAATATACTGAACAATTTCTACTTCCACATTGTAAAAGAAATTTTCAGCCTTGTTTCAAAGAAAGAGCATTTTGGAAGTGTAAACTCTTCCTTACATCTGAATGCTACTACTTTGTTAATTTTGCTTTCCATTTTCACCTAACACATACATAACAAATTTTCACATCCTAGATCTTTGCCACATCACAACCCTAAATCTCATGGGTGAGCTTGCTTTTGTATACCTGATGGCACATCCACTAACAAAATTCCCTTTCTGGAGAAACATGAGATTACACATTTTGAGGAGGCTTTTTTTTTCTATCATTGTTATCTTCCATACCTCTCTCTTACATACCTTGCCTCCATTTCTTCCTTCCACACTTTCTTCACATGCTGCTCTTTCCTCCAGCCCATGGGCATCTTCTCCATCCTGGAAGAGGAGTGCATGTTCCCCAAGGCAACTGACACCTCTTTCAAGAACAAGCTCTATGACCAGCACCTGGGCAAGTCCAACAACTTCCAGAAGCCCAAACCTGGCAAGGGCAAAGCTGAGGCTCACTTCTCCCTGGTGCACTATGCTGGCACAGTGGACTACAACATCTCTGGGTGGCTGGAGAAGAACAAGGACCCTCTGAATGAAACTGTTGTGGGGCTGTATCAAAAATCCTCCCTGAAGACATTGGCCTTACTCTTCGCCTCTGTTGGTGGGGCAGAAGCAGGTGATCTCTTTGAAAGTAGTTCTACTGCAATTGACAGGGAAAAAAATATCTTGTAATAATCTTTTGCAATAATATTTACACTTCTTAAATTGAAACTCCAAAGCTTCATCAACTTTGTGGAACTCAGTCACTCAGTCTAATAAGGGATATTGCATTTCCCTAGAGACCTTACTCGATCTGTAGGTTTGAAGACCAGAGTGGTACTACAGCATTAATCCAGACTAGCTGAAAACCAAATCTCTGCAATATTGGCCATTCCCAAGTACACAATCAAATGCACCAACATCCTGCTAAATTTAGGTATACCCTTAGCTGTAAAGATACATAGAGATTATATTTGTTATATTCACCAGCTAATTATTTCATTCCTTAAATATCTTCCTATGCAAAATGCTACATTTTATTTCCTGGTTGCATTTGCTGCACTTCACCTTGGAGTCATTAGATTTCCCTCTGTCATCCGAGAAAATCATGTCCCCCAGTGTAACTTTAAACACTGTATGTGTTTGCAAATTTTGTTCATACAACTTTTTCCAGATTTTTGAGATGAAAACACACTGCTTCCAGACTAACTGTGCTTCTGTTGTTCATGATGTTCTACATTCCTTTGTAGAGAGTGGTGGTGGTGGCAAGAAGGGTGGCAAGAAGAAGGGTTCATCTTTCCAGACTGTCTCAGCTCTTTTCCGGGTACTGTACAATAATCCTTCTAAACTTCATATTGTGAAAAGAAAAAAATACAGAAAAGTCAGCTTAGAAAAGCTTTAGAATGATCTAATATACACAATATTTAGGTTAGATATTAGGAAGAGATTGTTTATGGAGAGAGTGCTCAGGCATTGGAATGTGCTGCCCAGGGAGGTGGTGGATTCACCATCCCTGGAGGTTTTCAAGCTGAGACTGGATGTGGCACTTAGTGCCATGGTCTAGTAACCACAGTGGGGTTGGACTCGATGATCTTGGAGGTCTTTTCCAACCCAGTTGATTCTATGATAAAGGCACTTCTAAAAAAGAAGGATTCTCACTGAGTCCTTGCATGTATTCTCTCAGAACTGTCCTAAAGTTCTGCAAGAAAGACACAGATTGTGGTTTTATTGAAGTGTTTTTATCCATCTAATATTGGAGCTGCATAAATTTTTCAACCCAAGTCTTTGTTCTTGCTCTTAAGGAAAATCTGAACAAGTTGATGAGCAACCTGCGCAGCACTCACCCCCATTTTGTGCGCTGCCTGATTCCCAATGAAACAAAAACACCTGGTGAGTAGTTCATGCCCAAAGGTGGGATGCATCTGGGGCTCTGCCTGCAGCAAATGGACTACAAATTCATCCTGTGATTTACTAGGTGCCATGGAGCACGAGCTGGTGCTGCACCAGCTGCGCTGTAACGGGGTGCTGGAAGGGATCAGGATCTGCAGGAAAGGATTCCCCAGCAGAATACTCTACGCTGATTTTAAGCAGAGGTCAGATTCCATGTCATCAGCCCTCCACCATACCCACAGATGCTGAATAATTTCATGTCCTAATTGTTCTAAGTACTATGGGAGTTATGAGATGGGTTCATTGCACTTACCTTTAGATAGACAAAAGTCAATTGTCCAAGTCATCCTGTTTCTTTCTATAGCTAACAAGAAAAACAGGTATTTTCAAAGGGAAATTATTTATTCCTGTCCTTTATTCATATTCTGGTATGGGAGAAAGTATTTTTTAACTAACTATCCAGAAATGAATTTGACTAGCTTAGAATTAACACCTGGAAAACAAAGTTAGATGACTTTCAGCCACCAGCACAGAAATGTGAATGTAGACACTACAAGGTATTCCAGACTAACTTGATGGAAAACCAAATGAAATAAAAATACCTTGCTTCTTGTACTACATCAGCTGGAAAACACTCAGACAGTATGTGTTGCCACTATACATGACTGAGATTTGCTTCTCCTCTCCACACATTTTGTTCTTGCACATAAAGTTCTCATTTGGAGATGAGGCATTAGATAACAGGAAACTTGGATATGTCAGCAGTTACCTATGGAAATCAGTGCCCACTCTGTGTCAAGAATGTCTAGACTAAGGAAAGTGCACATTATTCCTATAAACACATTTAGCCATGAAAATGTGATTTCTGAACAACAGAAGAGTTCAGATTTATTCATCACTCTTCCACTCTTGATCCTCCTTCAGAGAACCTTAACAATGCCTTTGCTTGGTACTGGGTTGATGGAGGTTTCACCAATCTGACCTTTTCCATATTCTGCTTCCTGCCACAGATACAAGGTGCTCAATGCCAGTGCCATCCCAGAGGGACAGTTCATCGACAGCAAGAAGGCTTCTGAGAAGCTCCTTGGCTCAATCGATGTGGATCACACCCAGTACAAATTTGGACACACCAAGGTACAAACCTCCCCCTCACTCACTCCCTCTGAGCCTCTGCTTTGCTCTGCCTGACAGGGATGTGCTGCAACGTTCCCTCTCTCCAGGTGTTCTTCAAAGCTGGGCTGCTGGGGCTGCTGGAGGAGATGAGGGATGAGAAGCTGGCACAGCTCATCACCCGCACTCAGGCCATGTGCAGGGGTTACCTGATGAGAGTGGAGTTCAAGAAAATGATGGAGAGGAGGTAGAAATGTACTTGCCTTGCTGGGACAATCCTTATCAGATATGAGTGGCATGCACAAAACTGAAAATAAGCCTCTTCTCAACAAATCTTTTCATTCACTCAGTTTACTCATACAGATGTATGTCCTGACAGTAGATGGCACATTATACTTATGTCCAGAAACCAGTTTTTTAGTCTAAGCTAATTATCTTAGGTCACTTCTGTCCAGAAACCAGATTTTTAGTCTAAGCTAATTATCTTAGGTCACCATTATAATCAAATGAAAGAAATATGCATTTCTACCACAAGAGAAGCAACCTCATCCCTTGGAAAACTTTCATGTAAAGAGCCAAGTCAAGTCCTAGAGGTGTTCCTGTTTACTGGCCATGAAAGTGATCCAAACACCTATAATCCAAAACTATCCATACAGCCTAATACTCTACGTAACAGTTAGAAGTTCTCTGTGGAAAGATGTATATATTATATCCAAATTACATATAATTTATTCAAAACCTGCACTAAATATTAGTAAGCATTATACATTTGATAATACATGACGAATATTTACGCACAGAACTACAACTGGAAAACATTATAGGGTGAACTTCATTATACACATTAATATATACAATTACACACATTTTATACATAGCTTTTGTACCATAAGATATTTGGGTATTACCTTTCAGGGAGTCCATTTTCTGCATCCAGTACAACGTTCGCTCATTCATGAACGTCAAGCACTGGCCATGGATGAAGCTGTTCTTCAAGATCAAGCCCTTGCTGAAGAGTGCAGAGTCTGAGAAGGAGATGGCCAACATGAAGGAAGAGTTTGAGAAAACCAAGGAAGAACTTGCAAAGTCTGAGGCAAAGAGGAAGGAGCTGGAGGAGAAAATGGCTTCTCTAATGCAGGAGAAGAATGACCTTCAGCTCCAAGTACAGGCTGTGAGTATGGTTCATGTTTTTGTTTGTAATGATACTTCAATATTACAGGGTTTTACCTACCAAGTACAGTGTAAAGCTGCTTGGAAAATATGATGCCCTTGGTTGAAAAGCAATAAGAAAAATTCATCATATGAAAACTATTTTATTTAAATGACTTGCACAGGAAGCTGATGGTTTGGCTGATGCTGAGGAAAGGTGTGACCAGCTCATCAAAACCAAGATCCAACTGGAAGCCAAAATTAAGGAACTGACAGAGAGAGCGGAAGATGAAGAAGAGATGAATGCTGAGCTGACAGCCAAGAAGAGAAAACTGGAGGATGAATGCTCAGAGCTGAAGAAAGATATTGATGACCTTGAGCTAACACTGGCCAAGGTTGAGAAGGAAAAACATGCCACCGAAAACAAGGTATGAGTAAAAAGCCCTGAGCTGTTCCAGGACTTC